AGAAGGGGTGTGGGCCATCCCTGGTGTTCCTTGCTAAGAATTTCCAAAAGTAGGAGAAGATTGAGAGGCCATGATCTCATTTGCAGAGAACCAAAGCTCCCTGGCCAGGCAAGTGGACCCCCCCACCAACCCATGCTCCCCTCTCACCTACAGGTTCCTGAGAACCTCGGAATACGATTAGTCCTCAACAGGTGAGGGCAGAAAGGCCATCGGGCCCCTCTACCACCCTCTCCTCGCCTCTACCTTTCCCTCGCCATTCGTCCCCACTTAGCTCCGTGGAAAGAAATGAGCAAGCAGGGAGCATGTCGGGAAGAAATGTGTCTTTTTTCTACCCCATTTTATAGCTAATGGTCATGAAGACATGGGCAGCAGGTAAGGGATGCAACGTCTGGCTAAAAGAGAAAGCGACAAAAACCAAAACTGGTGTTTAAATGTTCAGCATAGAAAGCTCACGTGTCCATACAGCCCAGTCACTAACACACACGGGAGCGGGCAATCCCATGTGAGAAGAAAGTTGATGAAGAGGGGAACGGGCACACACACACTCACCTGACGGGGTCATTCAACCCAGTATTTCCTAAGGAACTGCTATGTCTAAGGCACTGGCTTGGCACCACTCAAGATCCCAATTCAATACAGTTCTGGCACTCAAACAGCTGAGAGTGTCATAGTGGGGATTCAAGTCAATTAAAATTGATGGAGCACCTACTAGGTGCCAGGCACGTCTAGATGGCGGGAGTACAGTAAGTCACAAAAAAGGAGAACCATGGGATCTCTCCTCATAGGTCTTATATTCTACAAAATAAGACATCTATTCAGCTGAGTAAAATATAGGGCAAAATATGGTTAAGTGCCTCCAGAGGTACTAACGTGTATTAAGGGGTTTTAAAAAGAATGAATGTAAAATGAAAGGCAGATCATAAAAATCCTAATAAAGACCTTCCTAATGCTTTCATACAGTTCCTCATGTTGTGGTGACCCCCAACCATAAAATTATTTTCGTTGCTACTTCATAACTGCATAACTGTA